AGGGTGTAAGTATGGACAAGAGAGCTTCTAGAAGAGAAAGAATATAGCTAAAAGTAAGTTGATGGGTAGCATACCTTTTTGAGATGACTGAAAACAACGCCTTTAAAAGGATCACAAATGTAAAGTGATTTATCATTTTCTTTTATATTGAGTGCTGTTTCTTCTTCAAGGATCTGGAGATGCTCTTCTGACTGAAATTCTTTTATAGACTGCAGGTAAACAGTGCATACATTTATTTAACAAATCACAAATAGCCAATCCTGTGGAAACTACACAAGTACTACTTGAAACAGCTCACAACAAAGCTACCATGCCAGAGTGTAACTGGCAGAAGAAAGGGCTAAAATACCTCATGGGTGTCCCGCTCATTCCCCCAACTCTTCACAATACTCAGACTTAAACATTCTTCATACAGACTTCAGGACCTGATCCTGCCACAGTGCCTTTAGCTCCCGCTAACCTCTCAAGGTGGAAAACAATCCACAGTATCCTTCCTAAGTTTGCTTAATGCTTAGATGAGTGACCATCATCCAGACCTTGCCAGCTACATGTCACTTCGCTAAATGTCAACAGCTTTTGAAATGATAATCATTTCTTGTTCAAGAAGTAATTTCAGCAAAATTGCTCTTGTTGAACAAACTTTATTAAACACCGAACACCTCTATTACAGAAATAGCTTTATTCCCAGATGTATACATAAGCTACATCTAAGTCAACCACGAAAATAATTTAACTAGGTAGTTCACCGAGCTCACTGAGAAAGGTGATCAACCCCACTTACCTCAAGAGCTTTAAAAAAATACTCCGAGTTCCCAGAAGACTTTATGAATTTCACAAAAAACAGCTCCTTACTACCTTTCATCCTTTAACTGAGAAGCAAAACCCAGTAAGCGTCCGACACTTGCGGCGTAGCCCTGAACCGCGCAGTGACGGGGCACACCGCCCACCGCCAGGGGCTGTGAACCCCCCTCCGCCCTGCCCCTGCCCCCACCGGCCCGCCCCACGCCGCCCAGCCTCGGCGCCGGCTCCGGCCGGAGAGAGGCGGGCAAGGCCGGGCCAACCGGGAGGCCCCTTCCCCACAGGGCCCCCTCCTCACGCCGGGACGCCGCTGCCGCCCGACGCGCCCACCTCAGGGCTCCCGCGCACCCGGGCGAGTGCCCGGCGCCGCCGGTTTAACCGCGCACCCCACCGCGGGCCCGTACCCGGGCCCGGTCCTGAGCTCGGTCCCTCACCCACCGCCTCCGCAGCGGGCGGGAAAGCGGCGGACCCGCACTGCGCAGGCGCGGGGCGGGGCGGGGCGTGGGAGAGGCAGGAAGGCGCACGCGCCGCCGACGCTGTGGGCGGGGAAGGGGTGCCGTGCCAGCCCGTACCCGCGCGTGCGCCCTCGCCGTCTGCCCGGTGGAGGCGGTGCTGCTGGGCGGGGGAAGGAGTTCGCTGAGGGCGCGCGCGGGGCCTATCGCTCCGCCCCCCCACCGCCCCGCCCCGCCCCTCGCTCGCTGTGCTCGCGCCACCGCCCGTGCCCTCGGCGGGTGGCGGCCTGTGGCGAGTAACGGGCGAAGGTGGCCGGCCTCCTCCTCCCGCCGCCGGTGTATCCCTGCGGCGTATCGCACCTGCGCCGTCGCCTCAGCTTTGCGCCCTTGGGGCGGCCCGGTGCGCAGTTGAAGACAGCAGGGTGCCCGGGCGGGCCTTAGCGAGCGGTAAGCTGGAGGAGATTGCTCTCCGGTCTGGGAATTGTTGCTGCCGTAGCAGGTGGCAGCAAAGGCTGCTTCCCTAGTCACGGCATCCCCCGCATCCGGCACCTGCTCTCCAGACCCCTCCGAGTCCATCAGGGGGCTCGCTTGGAATAGGTTTGGGGTGTTGGTGCTGCTGAGTCCTGCTGGGGGGGCAATGGGGGAGTATCGCAGCTGGGAGAGTCTGGGAGGGGTTGGAAGTGTGAGCATCCCATTCCCATCCAAGTTCCAATCCTTGATGTCTTTCCAAAGGAAATAACGGTAGGGAATGCGTTTTTATGCCTGGAACGTCCGAGCTACGGACAAGAAGGTCAAATGCTCTCCTTCCAGAGCAGGTGGCTGGAACCCGGACAACGTGAGTGCGTGCAGAGCTTGTGCAGGAGCTAAAATAAGCCTGACTTCTCCCGTATCACACTTGCATCTGCCATCATTAAAAGTGGTGCCATCATATGGGCCCACTCATCCAGTGCACCTCCATTCTTCGCGGCCGTGAGTGTTTCCTAAGGCTTGCTGCTGTTTGTATAATATTGATGCTGCCCATCGTGGGGGTAGTCGTTTTGATAGAAGAGCCTCTTCGGAAAAGAAATGTTTCGAAAGAGGAAAGCACCCAAACCATTGTCGGGGTAGTGAACGCTCGGTAGCATGAAACCTTAACAGGGTGGCCACATGATGGCACCGCAGCCTTAAGAACTGAAGGGAAGTGTGTGCACACGTCTACTGTCATTGTTAGGGGTCCAGCTCTTCGTCGCTAGGGCAGATCCTAAACACACTAAAAATTCTTTTGTATGCTTACTTATTTTAGAAGCACTTAATCTTCTAGGATCAGAGTGAGTTGTGTGAGATAGTGCTTTTCCCATCTGTAAAAATAAACAAACCCAAATGTAATGACAACCAAAATAGCAAATTTATTATTAGGTGATTAGTGACAGCAGTTAAGATCACTGGAGTTATTTTGGTGGTCCCGTGTTATTTGATGATGCTGATTCTTAGTCGACTTGTAAAATCCTGAATTTGTCCTGCCTGCTCTTTCAGCATTATAGCAACCTGTTATGAAGAGGAATTTCTCTTCCTTTTTCATTCTTCTGGGCTATTCTAAAAAAAAAAGGGGGGACGCAGGGAGAGGGTCAAAAAGTCTAACACACAAAAGTTAACCAACTTTAATGGATTGTATAATACAAAATATTGTTACAATCTATTGGCAGAGTCCTTAGTTGAATGCACCAGCAGTGCTACCAAATACCATGTGTTCCATTGTCTCCTTGAACATGGATCACAGTTCACTCCAATAGCTGAAATCTGGCTTGTTCTCATTCGCTCAAGTGTGGTCCCTTCTTGGTGAAGTGATAGAAACTCTTGATAAGCTGCTGATCCACAGGGCCACCAGTCTCTTAAGTTCCACCTCTTCCCTTCAAAAGCTGCTTGTTGCTTGGAGATATCCATGCTGTAGAAGAGAACACTGCAAAGGAGCGGGGCTGGTTTTTGACATGCTTCTCAGAAAGCTTGTCAGTATGCTTGTGCATGTTTGGTTGTTGTGCTTTGCTCCTGCAGGGCTGGTCAACATAACCTGCCTGGCGTCAAAGCCCTCCAGAGAAAGTAACTTCTTAAAGGCAAGGTGTCTTAGGGGCCAAATGAAAGCTCTTGTCAAGAGCAGAATGAAATACAAAAATATTTTTATAAAAGTATTGGAGAAGGAAAAAAAAAAGCCAACCTATCTAGAAGTTACTGCATGTAGCTTCCTAGCTCTTTAAAAAATAAATGCATATATTTGACATTTTTTGCTGAAATTACCCAATTTTTGCTTATACTGATATAGTTAACTGTTTTAAAAGCATATACAAAGTCCAGAAAGTAACTGATGCAGAGGGTCTTAAAAAAGAGTATGTAGCTGAAAATCTTGTAAATTAGAAGGTGTTGTATACTTCTGTTATACTTCCCATGTGGATGTAGTCCAAAAGTGGTGCTTAATATGGCAAAACTGAATAACTTAAGGGGTTTGATAAGCAAAGATTTCCCTATTTCACTTCCTGCTTTCACAAGCACTTGGCAATGTAAAATCTCTTTGGGGCTGTTTGAAACATTTGCTTCTTTGAAAATATTATTTAAAAGGTTATCTACAGGAGTTGGAAGACAGAAATTGCCCTGCTGGATAAGAACAGCAATCAAAAGATTCACTTTTAATTTCTTGTGTCCCGAGTTGTCCAAACCCATGTATCTTAGGGGAAATATAAGAAATGCTAGAAAGGACAACTTGGCCTAAATCAGTTAATAGCGTGATTATGGTATGATCTTAAGCACTCAAGTATCCCCATATTTATTTCATCTTTTCTATGTGTTTCAAGTGCTTTTCAGGATCTGAGTTTTAAGGGGAAGCCCAGTCATATTTGAACATCAGTCTAATTATGGAAGCTTTTGCTTTCTGTAAAACTCCTAAATGGCAGAAAAAAACATTGTCATAGCCCCCAAATGATACCTGCTTCTAAAAGAAAAAAAAAAGAGATGCTCTATGCCCTTGACTCTACAGAACAGTGAATATTTTTACTTATTTATATGTTTTGATAACTTAAATGTCTATAGCATATGCTTATCTCTAAAAACATCTGGGTCAACCCTGTTCAGAAATCATTTTCACACCTCTAATGCTGTTGTGGTTTTGCAGCCATTACGACTGCATTCATTTCATATTTTAAAGTTTTTCTCTTAAGTATGCTAGAAAAATAGCAAGCAAAATCACTGCACTAAAAAGCTAAAACCCTGTTGACTTGTTGTCCACCTTTGATCTAAGCTGGGTAAAGCTCCATGTGCAATACTTTATTTTTAAAATACTGTAAACACATTGATTTTCTGATCAACAATAGTCATTATATTAGCTTTTTAGTACAAATAGCATATAAAACAGCAGTTGATTAAAAGAGAGCCTTCTGAAATATCAAACTCTCAAGTCACTTACGTACCAACACCTAGTAGTTGAAACTATTATGAGAAAGATCCAAGAGGTTAGTACTCAGCCATACACAAAGGAAAATATAACTTGAAATTTCAGAGTCTCTTCTAAATGTATAAGGTTTTCCCATGCCACTTGTAAAGATTCTGTGTCACAGACCTCAGTAATTTAGCATTTTTTACAAAGATACACAACCAGGCTAGTAAAAGATGTGACTGAGACCGAGTTTAAATGAGTGAGATATCTTGTGTAAGGTACAGTCAAGAGATGTTTCCAAAGAACCAGTGTCAATTTCTAACCTCTAGTTCACTTCAAAAAACCTGTTTATGAGCCTACTAGCTTATGCCCTCAGCCTTTGTGTGGTTTTGGGCCCTATAGTACAAAACTATACTTTTACATTCACAAAAAAAGAGAACGTCTTTTTTTTCCCCTACAGAATGCCACGTTAGCATATCAGGGTAGCTAATTTGATACATCCTTTTCATTTATGTACAAATACCCAAATGTATGAGCAAATACAGGCCTTGGTAAATATGTATTCTATGATCTTTTGCAGCTGCCTTAGAGCCAATATCCACAACAGATTCTGCAGGCTTTCATCACAGACTTGATTTCACAAAAGTCAATTCCACTTTTTCACTAGACACAACTTACAGTGCAGCAGAAACTTCTTGTTCTCCAGTCGATTGTGTGTAGGTGGAGCTAGCCCTTTCAGCTGTGTCAACATAGAAAACGGGACAGTATTTAGAGAAGTGGAATGCAATCTGCTTTCGGAAAAAGCTACGAAGGTACTTCCTAAATTTTTCTCCAGCGAAGGCATAGATCACAGGATTGATACAACAGTGGATCATTGATATTGTTTCTGTCACTTGGATTGCTTTCTCCAGTTGACTGCTGCCTTCACAAGTAGCGATGGAAAATGTACCTTGAAAATCACGCAAAAGAATGCAAATGTTGTATGGTGCCCAGAAAAAAAAATAGACAATCATAATGATAAAAATAAGTCTGACTGCTTTATGTTTCTTCTCATTCCTACATTGCAGTAATGTCTTTATAATTTGTGTGTAGCTGCACATCATAATTAACATTGGAATAAGAAGTCCCAGGATGTTCATTTTTAAGGTCAGGAATTGCTTCCATACATTTCTCTGCTCTGATGGATAATGAGTACTGCAAGTATAACGTGAATTTTCCTTTTGAGTTTTGTGAAATATTATCCCAGGAACAGAAGCAAAAATAGCAACAGCCCAAGTGACAGCGCTGGTGAGGATGCCGTAGGTAACTGTCCTAGCTTTTAAAGCAAACACTGCATGCACTATGGCCAGGTACCTGTCCAGAGTCAACAGGATTATGAAAAAGATGCCACTGTAGAAGCCAAGGAGGTAGACACCCGAGAGAATTCTACACAGCGCCTCCCCAAAAATCCAGTCATGAACAGCATAATAAGCCCAAAAAGGGAGAGAAAATATAAACAGCAAATCAGATATTGCCAAATTGAGCAGGTAGATGTCAGTCATACTCTTCAATCTCTTGTATTTTACCAGGATGAGGACAACGAGCATGTTGCCTGTGAGGCCAAATATCACCACCAAAGAATAAAGCGGTGGCAAAAGTTTTGCTGCAAAGTGCTTTTCCTCAGTTCCCATGCATGGAGCTGAATCACTGTAGTCAAATTCTGTTGTCAGTGGCAAGTCGCCTAAGTCTGTGGTATGGTTTTCCATGGTGTGTTGGTCTGGAAAGGAAGAAAAGGATGTTAAACTAGGGGAAACCCCAAGCTTGGCGGTGAGGGGAATGAAACACCCTGATGTCCTCCTCATCTGGAATGCTTTTTGCTGTTAAGCACGTAAGCATTACTACGTCAAGGTGTGGAAGAGAATGAAATTGCAGAGCTCCCAGGAAACCCATCTGTAATACCTATGAAGTCACACTGCTGCATGTTGGAAGTGTGCTGCTGCGTGTCATTTCCTAGGTGTGCGCTGTCTGGTGCATTTTTCCTCCTCAGTAGAGCCTGTCAGCTGCCTGACCCAGCCAGAAGCAGAGGAATGATGAATTTAATCCGTGGGTAGCTGGGGGCTGTTGTGCTCAGCAGTGGCTTTCCAAAGGGGCGGAGTGAGCCAGCATGGCAGCAACAGGAAAGCACAGCAGCTGGCATGCAGAGCATAGCCGTGCTCCTCCTTGGGACCTGGCCACCTTCTCGTCGTGCCAGCCCGACTTCCAGCCCTCACCCAAGGAGGACCAGGCACTGGCAAGGTGTAAACTGGTGCCTGCAAAGGCCCTGTGACATGGGTGAAACAGAACGGACTGCCGCTTGTTCAGGTTGTGACTCCCTGGGAGCCTTAATGCCTGTGGGAATCAGGTCACTGGAGGTGTAGAAATGACCTTTGCGCAGTACTAAACATACCCACCTGGTGGACCTGCTGTCCTGGGTGTTGCAGAGCAGCAAGTTGGCAGCGTTGGTCCGGGTTAAAATGGCAAACGCTGTGTCCTTTACAGGGTCTGGGTCAGGCGTAGGTCATGGAAGTGTGCTGGTCTTAGGTCGGTCTGGAATGAAGACGGCGTGCAGTCCTGTGGAAAGAACAGGTAGGCAAACACCTTGGCAAACAGCATCAAATATGACGGTTGCTATCAGCATAGCCTATAACAGCTGTATCTGTTGTGGCACCTTCCTGTCAATTGGAAGACCTCCCCAGTGCTCGGGGATGAAGGAAGTTTTGATTCCTTGTTCTAGTAGCTGTTTAGCAGCTGTGATTCAGGAGCTCCAAAGTTGAGATGGGCTAAAGTGTCTTGGAGGGGGTGCAGAGGCAAAAGGCAGATACAGCCATCCCTCTGTGTGTGCACTAACAGTTCTTCATGTGTAGTGGTTGTTTGATATCGTCCTTCATCCTTTGCTAGTCAGTGTTTCCAGTGAGGTGACGCAGTACCTGAGGGAGTGCAGGGGTTGCCCAAACTCCCTGTCCCTCCAGTTTTGGTTTGGGGACTGTTGGAGGGAGTGGGCTTCCCTTGCAAGAAGGAGTTGTGGCCTGGGAGGTAAGTGTGCAGCAGAGCTGTGAAAGCCCTCAGGCAAGTTCTGTTGTAGTGGGAGCAGGTAAAGGCTTGCGACTTTGATGTCAGCCCTTCCTGTCGCCTCCCCCTGTTCCAAGTCCCTGGTAGGACTGCAAGCCAGATGCAGAAGCATAGCTTTGTGTAATTTGGTCTCTGGAAAGTTGAGGAGAACTGTCTTCTCACAGACCCCCAGAGAAAATGGAAGAACTCCTGCGTCCCCCATGACAAGCTGGGAAGAGGATTTTGTGAAGACGGGTGTCAGAGGGACCAAATGTGCTTCCTGGTCACTCAGTGGGGAAGTGAAATCGATGCGCTTGGTAGGCACTCAAACAGAGCTATTTGCTGTCTGGTGAAAGGGCTGCTCTTTCTTCCTGTGTCATTAGGACTGGTTTTGTCAGGCACTTCATGGCAGATCGGTGGCTGTTCATAGCAGGTTGATGGTTTTGAAATCTGCATTTTCCTGGCCATTTGATGCCTGTTCTCTTGACAAAGGCAACAGACTGCTTCTGACACAGAAGGCTTCAGGTAGTGCGTCTGCCCCAACTTGCTCTGGGCTCCCTGACCACTCATGTAGTGCTAGCAATGTTTGCTCCCTTCCTGCTTACAGCCCCGCCATGCACTTTTTTCAATGGCAAGGTCTATGCTGTGTGATTGCAGACGTCTGTTGCAGAGACCACATTCTCAAAACCACCACTTCATTCTCTCTGCACTTGAGTTCTGCTAGACTAAATGTAACTGAAGAAGCTCAGCCTGTGGCTGGGGGGACACAGGGTCACGCTGCCCGTCTGCTTCTTAGTAGAAACTCAATTTTATGACATGGTGGGTCATTCTGAGCTGTAGTATGTGAAATCCCTGATGTGTCTTAAGCTTGTGTCTCTCTGGACAAAACTGTTCAGGTGAAAAGACTATTTTCTGCCCTAAGCACAGATTGCTCAAAATGCTAATGTCCTTATCTTAACTTGTGTCAAATTGGTTAACTTCGGTAAACCTAAGCTGAGGTCTTGGGGAAGGGACTGTTTGCTAGGTTTTTAACTGCTTTCCTGTGACCTTAAAAATAAGGATCTGAGTCTCTCCTGAGCTGCCAGCTCCTGATGGAGTTTCTTATGCTGCCCAGTGAAATACAAATCTGCCCAAAAAGGAGGAAGCTTTATTGGAGCAAAATCTGCACCTTGTAAACAACAAGAGGTGCTGCTTTTGCAAACCTTTTTCCCTCCCCCTCCCCAGGTTTTTCCTGAGTCTAGTTGTCAACTCTGTTCCTAACAATATCAAGAATGAGAACATCCATGTTCAGACATTACTTTGGCATGTTGCGTATGGCATGAAGTTTTCTTCTGGAGAACGAGGAATAAGAGAAAATTGGCAAGTTTTAACAGTTTGGGTCTCAGCTTTGCCTAGATACAATTTCTTGGGGAGAAGATAAGTGCTGTCAAACTCCTCAAAGACCAGCTTTCAGGAAGCTCTGGCAATCTCTGTGAAACAGGTTTTTTCCACAGCTGTACTAACTACGTAGTTATTACAATACTGAGATAAAGGTTTTGTTGGTAAAGGAAGTGGCTGTGGGTCAGGTGTATTGACAGTAAATAAGTTGGGTTTAAAGTATCTAAGGGTTTATATTTCTTAAGTACTTTCAGCAACTCTTTTAGAAAAAAAAGCACCTTTATAAAACACTTTGGGTTTTTTACCATTTTTGGTTTTACACCTTTATAAAACACATATGTCCAAAACATTAACTTCTTTATTTCAGAACATGACAAGACTTGGGCACTGCGCAATATTTAATATTCCCTTCAGCTAGATCTGCTAGATCTATGTTGCATGCCCTGACAGTACAAGTCCCTGATACTGCATATAGCTAAATATCCCCATTTCGCATGTGTCAGCCATGCTGTATACTGGGATTATGGGATGAGGGACTGGCTGCAACACAGTGCCAGACCCAGCACATCCTGTCTTGATCATTTTGCACCTGTGTGATGCTCATGCATAAACATGGGTATGAAAAACACTTGGGTCGTAAACCCAGAGTGGGATTTTATGAGTATGTGATTGATAGAATTAATGAAAATATTATTGCAAAATGCTGCCTCAATATTATTGTGGTAATTCTTTTCATCACAGCCCCTTCTTCCTATTAACTGCTATTTCAGTGCCTTTGCTCCTTTTCCTCTGCTGCCTTGGAATGACAACTACCTCTTCCCTGCATCTTATTTTCTTCCTTTCAACCCTTTTTGCATGCTTAAATTGTGGTCTCCCTTCTGAGTGGTTCTTTCCGCTAACTGAGCCCCATTTCTCTAGGCTAGCCTTTGCTTCAGAAGCCTCTCTCTGCAAAAGTATTTACTAACCTGAATTGTGTATAGTATCCAGCACATGCTGACAATGGAAACTACAGATACTAATTTGGAAACCAGAAGAAGGAATTGTAAGTGTTTTTCTGCTTTATCCTATAATCTCACTGTTCTAGGAAACAGTGTTGGCCACTGGCTAGAATGCTTCACTGGGTTAATCGACCTGGGTGGTTTACCTAATTAGGGATATCTGACTGGGCTTATGTTTCCTGATCTTTAGGAAAAAAAACCCAAAGATAATCCTGGAAGATCTCTGAAGAAAGGGTATTTCAAAAAGAGGTCTATATTATTTTGAATACAGTTCAGATAAATGCAGTTATTTCTAGAAATCTGCAATCTGCTATACAAATTCTGTTGCTCTGGTTGAGACTAGCAGTCATGCAGTTTTCAAGAGAAAAGCTCTCCATAGAAAAGCTGAGCAAACTCATGTCACTGTTTCATGCTGAGTTTCAGGTCATAGCTCTCTATTTTTAAAGAGGCAAAGATTTTATTAAAGTCAGTTTCAGTTCATTTGCACCGTGCTGTAAAATGGTAATAATTAAAAAGGTGTAGTAAATGGAGGCAAAGTGCTAAACTATGCTGTGTGTAAACAGGTTCCATGAGACAGAGTGTTTAAAATACAGTATCAGATTTTCTGTGAGAATAAGTACTCTTCACTCAAATAAGCTGTTTTGTCTTTGCAGTAACAGTTTTAAAATCCAGATTTCCATCATTATATATCATCTTTAGAGAAAAAATCAGAGGCATACTCCATTATATTTCTTACTCCAATCAATCTCTAGAGATTTATTCCTTTGCTTACCTGGATCCTCTGCTCAAGTCTTCTAGTGGTTCTGTCCTTTAAAAATAGTGTATTCTATTTAAGATGTCCTATTCATTTCCCCAGGGTGATTTTTAAAGATGAGTACACTGGCAAGATTCCACAAGTATTTTTCACCTCAGGCATTAGACTACCTAAGCAACTACTAAATGTTTAAAAAAAAAAAAAAAAGGAGCAAAAAAAAAAAAAGGCAGCAAAGATGACTTGACTTACCATGTATCTTACAGTGCAAGTGGTGGCTTGGATTATTACATCAAGAGTAACACTAAACCGATTTGTCAGTCACAAGAAGAAGGTCTAAACCACCTCTTCCTGCATGAAGAAGGATGTATCAGTTTGAAAACTTGTAGCAAACAAATCTGTTTTCATTTAAAAAAAATCAAGGAGCAGTTCTCTTTTTTCTAAAAATGGGTTATCAGATGTTACTTTTCTAACTCTGCGAGATGTGCAGAGATGTTGAAATTGTAGAGGATCCTCCTAAGGTCTGAACTCAAGGTTTCACAACCCACAGCTGTAGTTGTAGAAGAACATTTTTAGGTAGTTGTTTTCTCTTTTTCATTTAGCTAACCTCTTTGAATCAAGAACAGTTTACATGAGGTTCATCCCTTTACATTTTTCAATCATTAAATTTCTTTTATGGTTTTTGTCCCTCAACAAGAAGTGGAGCTTCTAAATAAAGCTTACACTTTTATTCAGAATTACCTGCACTTTCTGTTGGCTTGCTCTGAGTTGTGGTCCTTATATTTTAGGAGATTTGATTGATTCTATTTTTCTCTAACCTGGTCTTTGTGTTTTTTATTTTAATCCTTCTCATAAGACAATGACTTAGTCTATATAGTGAGTCTGACCTTCTTTTAAAACAACAACTTACTTTTTGGAAGTAAGCTTCAGAAGAGCGTGATAGAATCTGATTTCTTATCAACTTATTTCCTTGTGGCTGATTCCTGTGACTTTTGGAGTTCAACTGAAGCTGCACTGTGAGCAGCTTTTTAGATCCTTCTTAGACATCAAAGAAACCACACAGGAGGTAGGAAAGGTACAGAGGAAGCAAGAAAGAGATGGTGCCTTATCAGATCCCTAAGAACCTCTGAGAGAGAAGCCCTGAGAAGATACCTAATAAAGTTCAACCCCCTGCCTCCCCTTGACATCTCTTTGGAGGGTTCTGGAGTATCTCATCCTATTGACCTAGTGAAGGCACTAAAGGGATGTCGTTACTGCACTCAGTCCTTGGTATCCTTAAAAGATTTTTAAAGGCCAAAAGCCCAATGGAGATATCTTGCTTTGAATGCTGTCATTCCTTAATGGAAGTGAAGAGGATCACAACTTCTGACTTACATCTCAGATCTGGGGGGAGACAGTAAAAAGCGAAAAGCTCAGCCTGTTTTCCTTGTCAGTGCTTCTTAACATGAGGGATTAATCAAGGTCTTTATCCCGTAGAATCAATAGATTTTTCTCTTCCTTTCCTAATCAGCTGTTCCAAAGAGTTCTCAAAGGGCTGGGATCTCAGCGTCAAAATTAATGGCCACTGTAGGATATTCTAAGGGTATGTTCACACTACCTTACTTGGACTATATTAGACCCCCTATATAGTCAGTGGAAAGACATGCTTTAAAAATGTTTCCACTACATCTAAATCAAGCTCCTAATTGCTGCCAAACTTTGCTGACAAAAACCTGCACTTTTATAATGAATTCTTATAATTCTCAAAGAAGGTATTGTATCAAATTAATTTTTTAATGTACAAGTCCTAAACAGTCTACATATTGAAATTAACAGACATTTTAAAGATTTCTGTCTGAAGCCTGCTTCATCGTTCACTGTTTGTTACATGTTACTGAGCCTACTGGAGACTCTAAAACCTTTCACAATCTCACACTGTATGAACGGGGGAGGCAGTCTCAAACCTTTGTTGGGCTTGCCCATTTTTCATCAAGCTTTTGATTCTGAAATATGCTCTCACAAAACTGGTCTCAAACATTTGAACTAACACCACCAACAACTTAAAGCTAAGACCTGTGGTAGGCTGGTCTTCAGAAATAGTCCCTTGTTCCCACAGATTCATTGGCTTTACTAATCTGTTTCATTTTGTTGCTTATAGCTTTTCATTCTCATAGCTCAGTCTGATCAGCAAGCGTAGCTGGGTTATTTCATTTACTATCAGCACCATAAGATTGCAGAGAGTGTTGCATGCCAACAGAGGGCCTCTGCCACTCATGGTTATAGCTCCTGATGAAGGGGAATGGTTTTGGTCTGCTTGTCAGCCGGGTCTCACACCTGGGTGGCATATTCCCCACAGCGAGTGTGAATACCTATGACACTTGGCAGCTCAAATACAGGGACACACTCTGGCGGCAAGCACCTGGACTGTGACTTTATTACCAGCACCTACACGATATGTTCAATTAGCTCTACTCCAGTGACTGATTATGATTTATCTTCGTAGTAATCAGGCCATCACACTGAAGTATCCAGTATCTAAGTGATATGGCACTCCCACAAGGAGATGTCATCATTTGTGTGAAGCCTACACCAGTACTGAAATGTCTACTAGAACACATACCAGATACTGATGTACCAGTGTGACATACAAATGTCAGCAGAATTATGGGTACAGAAATTTGAAAATGCAACTAACAGTTTCCATTCAATTTATTAGAAATTTGCACCACCTGAAGAAGAAAGACTGGGAAAAAAAAGGTCTAGGACAGAATGCAGATACCTATCTCACAGTATGATAGTGCACAACACTCTTATCAAAGTCTGTAACTACAGCAAAGCAGATCATCCTTGTCATCTGGAGAAGAGGTCTAATGAAGACATGTGAGCACAGACTGGATGCATTTCTTTTTCCATTGGTTTCCCCAATTATATCTCATTTTGTTACTTGTTATATTGACAAAATCCATGTCCAAATTAGGTTAGTATTAGCATATACTTTATTTCATCAGTAATACTTAAATGTCTTTGTTTTGAAGAGGCTGAATAAAGACATCCGTCTAAAACTACTTTGTTGCTTAGGATTTTTTTTCTTATCGCCTTTTCTTTCAGGCTCTGAGTTCTTGTGACTAATCTATCTGGTTTAACACTACTTCTGCACTGGCAGTAAGATGGGGGGGGTTCCCCCTATTCTTCTGTTTTCTGTTTGTTTCTGTCTTGTAAATATTGCACGTACATAATTATCCATTGCAGCTCATATTAATTCCATTGTCATGGTATTATTTTTGTTTTGGCTTTCCCCAAGCTACTCTTACTGAACTAACAGTGTTTCCTCATGCAGCAAGGAGGAAGAGAGTGTTGCTTCCTTCTACTATTTTTATCCAGGTTTCTGATGTATGCTGCCCTGTTTTATATATAAGGGGTTATCATAGTACAACCAATTTTATTTTGGGGCCATAGCTATGCATTTCACAGATTTTCTCAGAATCTCATTTTTACATAGACCTTTATTTCTCACACTCTCTTTTCAGGTACATTTATAGTACATAAATTCTAGGTCTAGAAGTGCTGTTCGGGGCTATCTCAACTGTGAATCGGAAATGCTCATCAGTGTAAATCCTGGACCTTTGATCAGGCAGGCTGGGAAAATCACACACCACATGTCTTCCCAGTGGACACTAGGTCATAGAAATGATGGATAGACAGAGTCTGTGCAATGATAAGGTATGTGCCAAGACCCAGGAACCAGAAAGTACTTTTGGGTGCCAAAGATCAGATGTAGTCTACAACTGTCCATACGTCACGATAGCGTCCCTGCAAGTTATGTGCAAATGGCTCCTTCACTTCCATCTACTTGGTTTCCATTCCATTCAAAAAGTCTGGTATCGGGGTAGGTTGTGTTGTTAGTGTCGTATGGTTAGCATCCTACTGTCACAACCTTGTAGACAGTTCTGCAAAGCTGATCGTCACTTGAAGGTTTGTGCAGTTTTGCACATTGGCCTATGTATCTGATAATGCTGCCCTCCTCCAGTTCAGTGTTGTGGCCCCACCTTCCCAGGATCAGTCATTTCAGACTTCAAACACTCAAACCAAGATTGCGCTCACTGTCACAGGAATTACAAAACTGCTTGGCAGTTATGCAAACTTATATAGCATTTCTTTTCCCTACCATTCCATTTTCTGAATGAAGTACAGCTCCTAATAGGCAAGTGTCACCAGAATATGGGTACAAAGCAATGCCTTCACCCCTTATTTCTAGACAAACATCCTTCTTTGTTTTCACCTGATTGCTATTGATATTCTAAGTGTGCCAGAATTTACTAGTTTGGTTTTGTTTCCTCTGCTAGCTTAATTTTTTTTATTACTATACTAAGGTGTAATGCTTCTAAGGCCACAGTAATCGCAGTAGCCGCTAGGAGAAGGCCAGTAAGCATCAGCGATTGAAAACAGCAGCGAAATTAAACTTCAGGATGAGCAGTATCTTCCTGTTGTGCCATTTAACCTGGTCAGCATTATGTCATTCTCCTGGCACTTCATTTCTTTGTTTTTTGTTAACTGGAACAAGATATCCTGTAAATTTGCCCATATGTTCTTTGTATTTATCCCTTTTGTAATTTTCACTGGAAGGAGTGATACTTATTTTGGAACTTCGTAACTGAAAGTCTCTCTTACTCACCAAAATCTTTTAATATTCTGCTTAAAGTATTTATCTCTGATCTTCCCATTACTCTGCCTATTATTTATTAGCCTCTGTTAAAGCTAATAAAGTCAGTCATTTTTTACTACTACTTTTTCCTATTTATCCATTTTCATCTACTCTTCCTTTATACTCCATTTACCTTTATCTTATCTAAAGTATGTATACATAAGGCCACAGTTGGGTTAACAAACAAGAAAGTCTTAGGACAGGAACATCCCTATGCACTGGTTACCAGAAGTTTCACTATTTCTGTTTGTCTATTATATACTTACCACTGACAAACGAATGGCAGTGGTTATAAATCTGGTGGTTGGTTGTGAGTACTGCTCAGCACTCACCAATACCATATATGCAGTTTAGCTACATTTCCTTTGCCCTTAGGAAGTCTGCCTGACAGTCAGCAGAGTTATCTTTTGCCGTGTGGGGCATTCCTCCCCACATGCTTCTGAACACGTGGCGGTAACAGGAAGGTCGGACTCTGTCCTGTTCTGTGTACAAACTAAACTGGTTGGTTGGTTTCAGGGCTGTACATAGATATTTGTCCAGGGCACATGGGCATTCTTTTCATAAGCATGCTGAAAGCCTAGTCAACACATTGTCTCTTCAGAAGTTCAGTGCCAAAAATTTTGAACTTGTAACAATTTTCACTT